GAAGTTTATGATTATTTCAATAATTTTTTTATCTTAATTTTAAGACTCATTTATTACATAAAAGTTAATTTAATTTTTTATTGTATCCAAATAAAATTAAATATTTCAAAAACTCTTATCATTAAACTTACACGTATAAAAATTCATTTTAATTACAAGCAATTATAGATATAATCATTATTAAAATAGTTTAATTTTTAATGCTTTCTCAAACATAACTGAGTACTAATTCTTGATTAGTATTTAGTAAATATCCTTGATTGCTTTTGACATGTAAACTGACCTACCCCGTTCTTAAGCCTTTGTCTTTTTCCACATCCAATGTATGTCTGAGAGTAGAGCTTCTTTCTCTGTGGATACCTAAACACTAAATCAAGTGGATAGCTCAATTTGGTAAGAGGGGGTGGATCGGAATTGGATAGTTTTATAATATTTTAACACAAAACTATATATATGCAAAATCATCAGTATCGTACTTTCACTAATATACTTTATTGATTAATTGTACTCGATCCGAAAGCGAATGTAAAAAGTGCTTTGTGTACTTGAAAGAAATCATGAACTAAATTTTGATTAAAGACTTGGTTACTGGATGCAACTCATGATTCTAGTGGCGCACTCCTGCATATGCCCATATATTAATTAATTGCTTCAAATTTGATACATATATGCCTTTTGGCGTTTGAGTGTGAGTGGAAAAGAGTTAATGGTTACTGCTACATCTCTATAATTATTAATGACCCACTTATTTAAGGAAGCTTCTACTTTTAAAATCGATCTAACAAGTTAATTTTTTAAATTAAAAATACATTTGCATACAGTACCGTAGTATTTTGTACACATGAAAAGGTATGACTGATAGTATATTTTGCATATGGGGCAAATTAGTTTGTTAGTTAATTTTTATAGTAACTAAATACACCATTTAAAGAAAACTAATATTAGATGATTTGAGAGAAATTTTAATATTTTAGACAAAAAAAGTCTGTTATAATCATGGTAATTATCAAGATTTACAGCGGGCTATTGACTAATTATTTTTTAAATTATAAAATCATTTTAAAACTAATATAGTTTGATAGAACTTGAAAAGTATTTTGTAAAGTTGTCCAAAATAATTAAGCATCGATCTTGACAATATTCAAGAAGATTCCTTTCTATGATAATGCCAAATGAGTCTCAGTTAGATTATGGATGTGTCGTCTGTCACATAAATTGAAAGCTTAAAGAAACCTTCAACTTGCCTTCGATCTGCTCAAATTGTACTATTAATTCGTAATCTGGACTGAAATTTCTAACAGGTTGGCCTCGCTATAATAATTAATAATAATGATATTAAAATCACTAGCTAGGTTAGTAGGACAGAGATATGTTGATGAAGATGAATATCTAAATTTTCTGTTTTGATGATATGCAAACTTAATGATATTACCCTTTTGAACAGGAATGTCCTCATCACTTTATCCATGCAAAAGAGATTAGGATGATACTTTTAATAAGCTTATCATTATTGTATGTTCGAATTCTCCTCAATTATATTTTTATTTTTCTTCTATTTCTCATCGGATTATTATTGTATGTTCACCTTTTCTTCATGGTTTTACTATTTGTAATTTTTCTAGTTTTTGTTTTTATTGACAACGTTACCTATTTATGTGTCTAATATATAGAAGATCAAATGATTATTTCAAACAACACTTACTAATATTTATGCTATACCATATTAGTGGTATATATAAGTGTTGGTTGTGACCTTCAAATGAATATTAAAGATCAAAAACAATAATTTTAAAATTTAGAGGCGTGAAAAAAAGTATAAGAAGTAAAAATATAGAGATAAAAATAATTATTTCATATTTTTAAGGAAGAAAATCAAATAAAAAATAATAAAAATTAAAATTAAGATTCTCCCCTTTTATAGAAAAAAAAACTAAAACATATTTAAGAGCATAAAAAATATATAGATATGCTCTTTTGATATGCATGTCAAGATTCAAAATTTAAAACAGTTCAAACTTAAATTTAAATTAACTAAATTTAAACAATATGTAAAAAAAAAAAAAAGAGAGAGAGAGAGAGAGAGAGAAATAGAGAATATGCAACTTTATAAGAAAAAGAGTTGAAAACTCTTTAAAAAAAATTCATTTAAATATGATGAATTAAATTTAGAATATAAAGGAAAATTTATTAATTAATTTCTATTAAAACAATTCATGGTGAGAATTCTCTTCAATTATTTTTCAAACCCTAGAAATGTTTGATCTTTATGTGATTTGTTCATTATTTAATGGTTGTAACCTATAACCATATTTTTTTTCTTGTTCTTATCCTTTTAATTTCTTGATGTGATATGTTTAATAGTTTCGAGAAAAATCAATGTTTTTTTTCATATTTAATCTATTTTTTTAATTTAAGTAACTATATACGTTGTTAGAGTGTGTATTGACAAAACACTGTGATAACCAATAATAATGAGACTAATGTAATATATATAAAATTTTAAGTTTGAATAATCTTATTATTATTGTATTTTTTATAGGAAAAAAGTGTATATAAACAACCACAAATATTAGGTCATTTATCATTAAAATTGTTTTAACTTAATTAATAATCTTGAATGTAAATTTTGATTATTCAATTGTGTTAAATACAATGATTTAAATATGTTTATATAAAAAAATGTGTAAAAATTTTTTTGAATAAGAAATTGATGTTACATCTTTTAATTTAATTAATGATCTTGAATGTAAATTTTAATTATCTATCTATGTTAAATACCATGACTTAAACATGTTTATATATAAAAATAAAATGTGAAACAAACTTACTGATTAAGAAATTGATGTTATATGATATTGAACAATTTTATTTTATTTTTATTAACATCATATATGTGTATAACTTAAGTTAGATATAATTATTATAGATGATAATTTTTAAAAAAATATTTAACGTAATTACATATTTATGATCATTTGATTAAGAACTATTAAGATTAACTTAATAATTAAAAGTTGGAGTAAAACATAAAAATTTTAGTTCCATCCTCATTGTTATTATTTGTAATCTTTTCTATTAATAAAGAAATATTTTCATGTTAGATATGCTTGTTATATCATAAGAATTAATTCACCACAACAAGCAAAAAGTAAATATAATGGTAGCATAATTATGAGATCTATTTAATAATTACTCAAGATTGCATTACTCAAATTATATATTTTTTTTTAAAAGTGACATCATAATCAAGCTTATTCAATAATTATTAAATCAAGAGTTACTTAAAATCGTGGCCAAAAATGCTCTTAACTATAACTGTGTTCTTTCTTATTCTTATTTTTCACAGAAATACATGGATTAAATTTTTTAAAAAAAAAAAAGCTTAATCGTACAAAACGATATAACGAAAACCACAAGAACAATTACAACAACAGAGTTGGCTTGGTCCAATAATTTTATCTCTTGCAAATCTAATTAGTAAATCATACTGCCATAGGCATAGCAGGGACTAAGAAGTTAAAAAATTGCATCACCAGTAACATTAAAACGATAATTAATTACAAGTTTTCTATCTTGCAAAGAAGTTAATCCACTACTCTACTATCAATTATTTGAATAATTATACTAAAGAGACCACCCCACAAAATGGTTTGTTGTTTTGACTTTGAACAGCATAACCATGAATATATTGACTATGACCGTTAAAATGTGTGTCGTATTCTATGAGTTGGGATAAAAAAGTTAAAGAAAAAACAGTATCGGTCCAACTTTTAATTTTTAATTTTTAATTTTTAAATTAACACACTCATTATTGCATTTCCTTCAAAAAAAAAAAGTTTCAGCAATACATGGGTAAAATAGTATTGGTCCAACTTAATAAGCCCGGTTTGGGTCTATTGAATTTCAATTATACATTAACTTAATTAGGTTTTATTATTAATTAAATAAAATTATTTAAAATATTTTATATTTCGATTAAATAACTAATATAATTTATGTTTCACTTTAAATACTCTAGAATGCAAAACCAAATTAATTAGGCAAAAAATGTACCTACATGGCTACATATATAGTATATCTCGCTGCCGTTTTAATTTCTACCTGAATTAATTAATTCATACCCCAGTAGCTTATCACAAATATGGTTTCTATATATATTTGTCCGGAAAGTCAGAAATTTATTATATGATCACGCGCGTTGTCTTCACGTTTTAAAATACAACAATGTGAATCTGATGTACATTTAGCAACTTCCTTCGAAAGAAAATTTAGTTGACGAACACAACTTTCAAAGTCCTCCTTTCCTATCATATATAATTTTTTTTTCTTAAGTCATACATAGACCCACCTTGATTGAAAATAAATTTCGGACCGTCTTGTTTTTATACATGAATTCAATATTCCTGGGTTGAACAAGAATAAATGAGAATATGCACATATCGAACTAATTAAAAAATAATACAAGTACTTACATGTATATATGTACGTTAGTAGCTAAAAAAAATGGATTTAATTAATGGTCATATCCTGTTAAAAGGTTTAACATAATCAATTAATAAAAATCACGGTTTATATAACTTTTTTTTAAAACAATTATTGTAAAAAATAACAATTTTATATTTATGATAACGTATGATTAAATGATTTTCGGTGTATTATCGTTAAACTCAAAAAAAGAAAATGTTTGTCAGTAAATATTTACGCAAAATATACCCATAGAACGAACATTAAAAAAGTTATATAATATATGCAGGGTTTCCTAAATCAGTCTGATATATTATATCCATACATCAATCTTAAATAATTTGGAGGATAGATGTATCCTGTATGTATAGTCCCAGAGGACATAAATCCTCAAAATAAGATAAGGTATCCCTATCTTTATTTAATTTTTTTTAAGTTACGAAAATAAGAAAATAATATTAAAAAATATCCAAGAATAAACTATATCCATCCAATGAATTTCCGTGGGTGTGCGTTTACCCCATCATCATATATACCATCAAACCAATCCATTTTTTCTGCTCTCTCTCTTCTTTCTTCTCTCTCACACTCACATTCGTACACATCTTGGCTTTGATTTGAGGGGATTGTAGGGTGAGAAAATGGGGAGGAAGTGCTCACATTGTGGAACCATAGGGCACAATTCAAGGACTTGCACATCTTTGAGAGGCAGCACTAGCACTAGTTTCGTAGGACTTCGCCTCTTTGGCGTGCAATTAGACACGTGTGTTGCCATCAAGAAAAGCTTTAGCATGGATTCCTTACCCTCTTCCTCATTCTCTTCATCAAGAATAACAACCATTGATGATAGCTCTGACCGAACCTCTTTTGGCTATCTATCAGATGGCCTCTTAGGTCGACCCCAAGAGAGGAAAAAAGGTATCCTTACTTCATACTTGTCTCTTCATTACAAAGATAACAATAATTGGATTAGTTCCTTCTAGTTTTGTCTTCACCCTTTTATTATGTCTATCATATCATTCTTATCCCAGTAAGAATCTTTTTATACAAAATAAGCATTCTTTTTTTTCATTATTTTTAGATATTGTATGATTTGTCGGAAAATCTTTGATTAACATTATTAAAGTATACTTTCCTTCATTCCTATATCTACCCTATATGCCTATATATAATCTAACATTGTTATGCATTTTCTTTTTAGGAGTGCCATGGACAGAAGAGGAACACCGAATATTCCTTATTGGACTTGAGAAGCTTGGAAAGGGTGACTGGAGGGGAATCTCTAGAAACTTTGTGACAACAAGAACCCCAACACAAGTTGCAAGCCACGCTCAGAAGTACTTTCTTCGACTCGCAACTTTAAATAAGAAGAAGCGACGTTCAAGTCTCTTTGACTTGGTATGAATTAATATATATTGCTTCAATAATTATTAATTAATTAGCTAGTTAAGTAATTGTGCACTGAATGGTTTTAATTTCGTTCATACTGAACTTGAAGGGTAATTTACCTTTGTCATTGAATATTAATTAATGTGGCAGGTTGGTAGCAACAACGCCAACGTGGGTAGTTCAAATTCAGTTTCGGCTCATCAAAATAATGATGAGTCTAAATGTGAAGTTAAAAATAGTGATGCCACTTTGTCGTTGCTAGGGCGTATAACCTGCTCTGAGCAAGAAACCAAATCAGAAGAAAAATTTGACAATTGCACTCATAAAATTGAAGCAGATGCAGAACTTGAAGATGTTCCTAATCTGGAGCTCACTCTTGCAGCCCCCAAAGAAAGGAGCCTGCAGGAACAAAACAAATCATCCCCTTCTGCTTCATTCTTGCTTGGGCCAATTAGCGTCACTTAAACTATCATGTATTATATATATATATTAATGTTTTAGCTAGGAATGTACCCTTTTATCTGTTGTCAAGTGTCAACTCATGTAGAAGATCACCTGATCAAAGAAACACATTGTTCTTTGAAGTAATAGTAGTGAGTAGTCGTCATTAATTAGTCCCAAATCTATGGAATAATCATATGACATCCCTTCAAGATATACATAATACATCATCAAATATATATAGAGAGAGATATTGACTAATATTATACAGCATATATATATTCATATGCAAATCTCTGTGGAATCCGAATTAGATCGAGTTGTTTTCATTGGGTTTGTTTACGTATCACACACAAAAAAATGAATTGAATTAGTTTGATTTAAAAACTTGTATTTTATACTTTGATAATTAAGTTTTTCTTCTTTTTGCATTTTCTTTAACTAAATAATAACACCTACTTTGTTCCCGGCCTAAACCATCGTGAAAATCATTCTTTGAATTATTAAAGGACTTAATGAAATTAAGATTAAGAGTATAATTAACCGTACAAAATGCCAAATGTCAATGAAATGTAATATCAAACATATATGGAATGGAATTAATTTGATTACTATTTGATCATAAAAGAGTAAGAAAATAGTATTTTATCTTGCAATTATAAAAAATTCAAAATTCAGTTTTTAGATGAAAAGTTAATTATGAACGTTGATAAAAACTACAAAGGTATAACATTTGGTAATTTTGCAATTTAGTGATAACCTGAAAGAACTTGATTTTAGTCCAATTTGTTTTGATTGGATTAAGTAAAATTATTGTTTTTTAAATTAAACCAAATTAACCCAGTTGAACTTGATTAGTTATTTTTTTTTTATAGTCTTATTTCAATTCAAACTAAACAAAGTTGTGAAGACTGAAGACCGGTAAAATAATCTCTGCAAAGTTTTGATATTATTTAATGATTTGTTAAATCATTTATCAATTTTTTATCTCTTTAAATAATGTGACAATATATATATATATATA